GGCTGATATGCACGACACCCACTCAACTTGTTCATTTAATCATGACATGACTCCAAAACAAAACTATCCAACAATGCTTAACAATTTTCTAGTATACTAAGTACTGTAGCAGAGATTGCGCCATAGCAAAATCTTGTAGAGACATTGAAACGGTCCACTGAACCCACCGTGGAATTAAATATATTTTGTGTTCCTGTTTGCGAAATGGAAGCGTCTTATAACGAATTTTTCACACTCTTAACTCGTCTCAATCTGAGCATTATCTAATTCCGTAAAAGTGGCTACTTCATGCTTTGACGATAAGCTTCCGCGCGTTTTTTTAAGGAGCTTTTAGACTTAATGTCCGCCTTCAAGCGAAAACTCAGGGACAGCCATGTCTTGGTAAATTGCGGCTGATACGCACAACACCTATTCAGCTTGTTCATTTAATCATGACATGACTCCAAATCGAAAATATCCAGCAATGCGTTATTCAAAATTTAAAACCAATCCTGATATGCCTTGATGAGTCATTTATGAAGAAGACAAAATGTTCAGTCAGGAGGGAAATAAGTTGATTGCAATAGTTTCCAATGTTTTCTGCGTTTGTAATGAGATCTGTTAATGTCTTTGATAAAAGACAAACAAATTGGTGGAGTTGTTCTTTTGTCACACCTACGACGGCTCTTAGCAGATTTATGCAGTTCACTCGTTCTGATCGAACAGAAATTCGGATTTCCAAAGACTTTAAGACTGTTTAAGATGTGAATGTAAGTAAATATGTTTCACTTTGTTTGTCAAAGCCTGTTCTGGATAAGTAGAGCGACAAATGTAACTAAAAGCTGCTGCTTTCGTCAGCCTGGACTGACTCCTCTTGGTCAGAGAAGTGTAAATGCTCTTTAAAGTTTATGGTACTTGTACACTAACCAAATTATGAGCCGCAGAAAGGAAATATTTTGACAGATCTAGAGCGAGCTCAATAGTGATCAAAAGCATTTCACAACGAACATCGTTGGTTACCCACATCTCACACAGTTAATCTCTCTTTTTCTGTTCATTAGTCATATTTCTAAATCTCATGCAGCTGGGGTAATATCCACTGTTATGATTCCCATCCTCGTTGAAGTTTGATTTATATTTCCTGCTATACTAAGTACTGTTTCAGAGATTCCGCCATAGCAAAATCTTGTAAAGATATTAAAACGTTCTATTGAACCCGCCGTGGAATTTAATATGTTTAATGTTCCTGTTTGCAAGATGGAAGCGTCTTAGGAAGAAATTTTCACACTCTTAACTCTTCCCAATGTGAGCAGTACTTAACTCGATAAAAGTGATGAAAATTCAATCCTACTTTCCTGAAAACAAAACTTTTCAACGGATGCACCCGGGGCAAAATATCGCGCACCCGGCGCTGCGTCATAGAAGTAACATGTTGGTTCCACTCAGCTTACTTGCCCAATCAGAACAGTAAATTGATAAACCGACTATTTTCCCTCGCTCGCCATGCGGCGTATTCAGCTTAAATATTATAAGTTAATTAGGAGATGCACCTAAATATCAACCACCTGAGAGACAAAGGAAAGTATTCCTTCACATCTCAGGCCAAAAGTAAAAGGTAATCGTTAACACTTATTGAAGCAGCCAAACGATTCACTTTTATCTTGAAGGGGGAGTGAGGAATTTCCTTAAATGACTCAGATGGGGAGGCTCCCCCCATTAGAAGGACCTTTTACAGGTTTCAGATTATTAAAGGATCGTAATCTGTCGGTTTGATACCAAAATTAGGCTTAAAAGGAGCACCGATTTTTGTGGAAAGTG